CCACTTACTACCATTGTGACACTCTGTTCTTGCTTGCACCCATCTCCCACCCAAATGAGGAGGATCATGAGCTATGTATGTATGTGCCGTCAAGGTGTACCTGATTTGTGGTGACCCCAGTAAGGGGTTTTCAAGGCAAGTGAGAAGCAGAGGTGGTTTGCTGTTGCCTTCTGCTGCTGAGTATTCCTTCCTTGCTCCTTCCATCCAAGTACCAACCCTGCTTAGCTTCTGAGATCTGATGAGATCGGACTATACCATACCCACTCCACATCCTGATCATGGACTAGCGAGTTGAATACGAACTAAAATCTTATGGGTTGAACTCAGCAACTCTTTTGTGCTAATACTTTGTCCAACAGACTTCCTCTGACAGAGAAGAGCCAGAGGAAGTCTTTGGATACAACATAGTGTGAGGAAGTCCGGTCTTTATCTTATTAAAGTGCAGTGATCGACTCCCACCATATAGAACAAGTGGCAGTTTTGAGAAAAGGTGTTGTGTTTTATTTGTTTGCTTGTTTGCTTTATACTGGCTTTTATGACCAATCCTTGTTCCAAAGCAACTTACATGAATCAAGATCTAATGCTAATGACAGCTGATGTTAAATAGAAAACGCAGTCAAGGAAGGAGGTTTTCAGCTGAGCTGGGTTAACATGCAAAGGAGAGGGGCTCAGCTGCTTCCTCCCCCCCCCTTAAGATGGCCTCATTGATTACACAGTTTGATGTAGTGGTTAAATGCGCGGACTCTAATCTGGGAGATCTGGGTTTGATTCTCCACTCCTCCACTTGCAGCTGCTGGATGACCTTGGCCAAGCCATAGTTCTGGCACAGCTGTTCTCTCAAGGACAGCTCTGGAAAGAGCTCTCTCAGCCCCACCTACCTCACAGGGTGTCTGTTGTGGGGAGGGGAAGGGAAAGGAGTTTGTAAGCCACTCTGAGACTCCAAGTGAAGGGTGGGGTATAAAATCCAACCTCTTCTTCTTCCTCTTCTTCTTCTTCTTCCTCTTCCTCTTCTCCTTCTTCTTCTTCTCCTCCTCCTCCTCCTCCTCCTCCTCCTCCTAAATGATGGCCCCAGAATGGCTTGCTCCAGATCTAGTTGGTGCTTCAAGCAGTATATTCAGCTCACTCCACTGTTAGGAATCTAGTTATGATGAAGCTAATGGCTCACCTGCAGCCATTCCAAAGTTTGAAGCAATGTGTAACACAAGCCTGCATAAAATGTTGGTCCACTCATACCCAGTTCTGGAAGCTGTTCCTTGATCCTAAGCACCTGAACATAACAAAGGCTGATTAAAACCTCTCGAGCCAGTGACTGAAATTCTAAAAGGCCTGTGCCAACTGTCTCAATCCAATTAATTGGACAGAATTTCCTGGAGTGACCTCTGCCCACATCAGTCTGAAACAGTTTCAGAGAGCAACACAATGCCCTTTGTACTGTTTTCTCTGTATTCCAGGCTTGCTTTATGGTAGACTTTCAGCGTGTTCAGAGTAGGCCATAAAGCACTCAGTCTTTCTACAAACACTAAATGTTTTCCCATTGCATCATTATTTGCAGAGGCTGGCAGCCCAAAAATTCTCTAATGGCACTGGCAACACAGCTCCTTTAGGAGGCGTTCAACCAACTGACGGAGACGAGACCATTTAATCTTGGCTGTGCAGCATGTCTCATTTGTTAAGCACATGTCTGATCTTGGATCCTTCTCTGGGCACGCTTTTGCTATAACAGCTTACATCAGTTTTTATAACTGGCCAACTCTCTTGGTTCCCCCCTAGAAACTGTAGTTTGATGGGGGGAAGAAGAAGAGTTGGTTTTTATACCCGACTTTTCTCTACCCTAAGGAGTCTTAAAGTGGCTTACGATTGCCTTCCTTTCCCCCAAGAGGCACCTTGTGAGGTAGGTGGGGCTACAAGAGTTGTGAGAGAACTGTGACTGGCCCAAGGTCACCCAACAGGCTTCATGTGGAGGATCAAACCCGATTCTCCAGATTAGAGTCCACGGTTCTTAACCACTGCATGCTGAGGATGATACAAGCTCTGTTTTAGAGGTTGCCAAGCCCTCTCAGAGGACGGCGGAAGACAGGAAGGCCTGGCATGATCTGGTCCATGGGGTCGCGAAGAGTCGGACTCGACTGTGCGACTGAACAACAACAACAACGAGCCCTCTCACAAAACTGTAATACCCAGGACCCCCAAGGAATGAATGCTAAAAGCAACTGATATCTGATAAGTGAATATATCCTCTCAGCTCACATACCTGCCTAGTTGTAGCCATCGTTGCAAATACAGATGAGATTCCATGGAAATGTTGTATTTTTTATTTATTTGAAAAATGGTATCCTGCATCTGCCATAAATTCAGGGAACTCCCAAAATCATTAAAATACACAGTCATCCATAAAATCAGCAAATCAATGGAACAACAAGGATATAGTTATAACACAAGCGCAGCAGAATACCCACATCCTTTCAAAAAACCCATCTGGAATAGAAATGTGCCCTCTGGGCAGAAACCAGAGATGAAGGTCTGTACATCTTTTCCGGAAGGCTGTTCCAGCAAGTGGAGGTGACTTCTAAACAAATATGGCACCAATGAACAGAATGCCGGCACAACTAGCCACTGCACTGACTTAGATGTCACACAGGTTCGTATCAGGAGAGGCAGTACTTTGGATCCCAGGTTGTGAAGCACTTTGAAAATCTAAACCAGCGGGACCTAGCACAGTTCCGCAGGGCCTTCACTCAGGGGTGGAGCACCAGCTTTGCCCACAGGTTTGAGATTCAACCTCTGGCAGTTAAAAAAAATGTTATCTAGAATAAGATCTCTGTGAGACATTGGAGAACCACTCAGGGGTGGAGCACCAGCTTTGCCCGCAGGGTTGAGATTCAACCTCTGGCAGTTTTTAAAAATGTAATCTAGAATAAGATCTCTGTCTGAGACATTGGAGAGCCTCTGCCAGCCAGGGTAGATCATATCTGGGGTTCAGTGGTTTCATTCAGAAGATGCTAGCCAAACGTTCTAAATGTGGTAGAGGAGGTCTAAACCCAAATCCTCTGCTTTGAAAAAAAATGCCTTGGAATACAGTGAATGGGTTCAAATCAGCACATTGTAGAATAGCTTCCTCCTTCACATAAGACAGCTTCATATGTTCATTCTCATATAATGCTGTGATTGTCCTTTTTCCCCCCCACAGGATTGCTTGCAAAAAAAGCTGTGGAAGCTGGCCTGACTGTGAAGCCATACATTAAAACTAGCCTTTCTCCCGGAAGTGGGGTGGTCACTTACTATCTGAGAGAAAGCGGAGTGATGCCTTACCTTGCTCAACTAGGGTATAATATGATTACCTTGAAGGCTTGTTTGATTTTGCTTCAGGATAGGAGATGGTTCCTCAACTGTGGGAAAACTGGGAGGTTTTAAGTGTATTCAGTCGGGATGTCATAATGATTGCTGATTGCTAATAGCAGGGGGGGGGGTTATGCCATCTACATGTTGGAGCTTACCTTGGGGTCTCCCTGTTGGGGAAAGGTAGTCACAAGAGGTTTCCTGCAGGATCGGACTAATGGTCCATCTAGTCCAGCAGTCTGTTTCTCACAGTGGCAAACCAGTTGCCATGGAGGGCCAACAAACAGATCATAGAGACCAGACTCTTCCCCTGATCTTGCCTGCTAGGAGTGGTATTCAGAGGCTTGCTGCCTCTGGGGTGGGCATTCCCTTCAGTCTATAAATATGTTAATAAACACATGTAACAAGAAAATAAGAAAACCGCAGCTGAAAACGCAGACTTAAACAAAGTGGCTGAAACGTGCAGGTAGCATACAGGTAGGATTTTCATGGTTGGGTATCATTCAAATGGAGCTGCAGTGGCTCAAGTGGTTAAGACGCTGAACTGCAGGCTGTGGAAGGTCGGTAGTTCAGCAGTTCGAGACCCAAGTGTGCTGCATGACAGAGTGAGCTCCCGTCTCTAGTTCCAGCTCCTGCCAACCTAGCAGTTCGAAAGCAAGAAATTGCAAGTAGATAAATAGGTACCACTTCGGTGGGAAGGTAACAGCGTTCCGTGCGCCTTGGTGTTTAGTCATGCCGGCCACATGACCACGGAAACGTCTTCGGACAGCGCTGGCTCTTCGGCTTTGAAACGGAGATGAGCACCGCAACCCTAGAGTCGGACTCGACTGGCTTTCGAGCAAGGGAACCTTTACCTTTATCATTCAACAGCCAGGCCAGATGATGATCCTGTGTGTGTGAATCTGAATAGATTCTGCCTTTGTTGTCCTTTCTTTAATAATAAAACTGAGGGAAGGAAGATGGGCTTATTTACCCATCTATATTGCATGGTCCAGGCTGGCCTGATCTTGTCAGATCTCAGAAGCTAGCAAGGTCAGCCTTGCTTATTACTTGGATGGGAGACCACCAAGGAAGTCCAGGGTCGCTATTTAGAGGCACACAGTGGCAAACCGCTTCTGAGTATCTCTCACCTCGAAAGCCCTGCGGAGCCACCATAAATTGGCTGCAGCTTGACAGCACTTTCTACCACCTGCAGTTTGGAGAATACCCATAAATGCTGCTTCATTACTGCATCAAGGTCCCACTTCACACAATTGGTAACTGAGAAGGTAAAACTCTTTCGACTGTACCACTCCAGGTTACAGTTGGGGCATTACATTTCTGAATCTATGCCTGTTTTTTTTTAAAAAAAATATTTCCATATACTAGAACTCTTTTCCCTGGCTTATAGTAACTCTGTGCACATTCGGTCACAAGAGGTCCCCACTTGTAGTTTGAAGATGTCTAGTCTGGAAACAGTTTTACTCTATTGCCGGACACAACGTAGCCCTGAGATAGGCATGGATAATTGCCCCCCTTTTGTTTAACAGAGAGGTTCAGCACAGTTTCAAAATACCTTCTGCCCCGTGTTCCTTCCACAGTGGCCAGGAAAACACAAAACTCTCAGTAACATGCTGGTACAGGAGAGAAAATGCTGATTTTATGTACCAGTATAACTGATTTTATCCTCCATTTGGGGATGCTGCTCTCGGCAGGTGTGTGATTTTTTTTAAAAAAAATATAGAAATCTCTGGTAATGCATTTCATGATCTCTGCAGGTTTGATTTTTTTGTTGTTGTTGTTTATTTATAGGTTTGATGTGGTGGGTTATGGATGTATGACCTGCATCGGCAACAGTGGGCCTCTACCAGAATCCATCGTTGAAGCCATTACTCAGGTACAATTCAACTACTAGGTTGTCTTCTGTATGTTCTGCAGTTCATTTATTTAGGAAGACGTTGCCTGCTTTTAAGTTAAAGCTGCAGTCAAGGTGCCTTACAAGTAAAATTTAAAATGACAACACAAGAAAAGCATGGCCTCAGACGTTCCTAGAACAAATATTGATCGCATAAGAACAGGCGCAGAAAACAGTAATTTAAAAACAGCAGGAAAATATCAATGTAAAAAAACCACACAAAAAACTAGGAAGAGTCAATAAAAGACACAGTGTGAGAAAAATAAGTGTGTACCTTCTTAAGAAAACAAATCAGATCAGCAAATGGCTTCCAAAGAGCCCAGAATCAGGAGGCAAGACAAGCTGTGGGATTTGAAGCCAAAGACCCAGATTATTTATAATAAACTGTATTAGCTAATACAGTTTTTTAAAAAAGAAACACTATCTGAGGTGGGTAATCTCAGTGAATGTGTATGTATTATGGTCTGGTTTTGCTGTATTGAAATCTTCATAGCACTGCAAAATATCTTGGGAAATTGTTAATAGATTATTTTGGCTTTAGGAATAGATCCCTTAAACCAGTCCAGGATTCGATATTGTTATATGTTGTTCTTTGGGGATGGTCTCTGTTCTCCGACGACAATGCTGTCATTGGCAATAGAAGATTATATGAAGCAGGAGCAGATTTCGTATGTCAGTGTTCTGTAGTCTCAGTAGATTTTTGCAATTTGAATTAAGGCAGGCCTGTATAATTTGTGGACTCCCAAGAGGGTTACCAGCAGGCCTGAAGGGGAAAAAATGGCTTGTCCCTTTAGTAAAGGCTTAATGGGATGTTATTTACCAATGTTATTTCCCTCCGTGTCATGAAAATCCTGAGCTGCCCATTTCCAGACACTGAAGACCCAGAATATTTTTCTCCAGGCCTGTTAGCAACATGATCTCCCAACCTAATGCAACCTGCCCCCCCAAAAAAAATTCTCCTGTATATGTGTCATTCCTGGGGCTGTCAAAACAGTCTTTTGTCAAGTCCTTGGCAAAACACAGTTACATTGGTGTGGGGTAGCAGTCAACCTAGTGGGACATTAGCTACATTGGCCTCCAGAAGGCAAACTCATCTTCTCATCATCTACTATACCAAACTGAGATTTGCCCTTCTGTTAATGAAGTACCCATACCAGTTTAGCCTACACCTGTCTTGTGTCTACGTGGTCTGTAGGGAAAAAGAATTGGAAATATCCATTTTAGGTAGTTTCGTAAAAGAAAGTAACCTGGAAGTGAATTGCAGTGATTATTTTTCTGTCTCTGTCCAGGTTTTGTAGGCTTGTGAAATTAGAAACGGAAGCCATTTGAATGTCATTCTTTCTCTTGCACAGGGAGACCTTGTAGCTGTGGGTGTGCTGTCTGGAAACAGGAACTTTGAAGGCCGGGTCCATCCAAATACTCGTGCCAATTACCTGGCCTCACCACCTTTGGTAATCGCCTATGCTATTGCAGGAACTATAAGAATTGACTTTGAGAAGGAACCCCTAGGTAAGGCATGACTTTAAAAATCTGAAGTGGCTGTTTTAAATAATTTGGAATCATGTGGGTTTGGATGGCCTAGTTCCTAATGAGGAAGTACGCCTGTATCTGGGGCTTTACCATTCCCAGTGTGGAGGTGGGTCACATCACTGAATTCTCCGTGCAAAATTTTTTTTTCTCTGTTTAGAAATCTTGAGGAGCAAAGGTTCAAGTCTTGCCTTTTCCCTAACATGCTAGTTTTCTGTGTAGAGGATGTTTTTTTGGTGGGAAGGGGATAGAGATTCATTCATGAACCTGCATTGCAGGGAGGGCAGGGTATAAATGTGATTAATAAATAAATAATAAACAAGTCACCATTTGTAGGCTGAAATGGTACAGCCCAGTCATACATTTAGCCCTTGAAAAGAACTAAGTCTATATGTACTGCACAGATTTTAAAGAACATGCTGCTGAGAGTTCAGTTAGGTATTACAAGAGACACAGAGCAGCCTCCTCAGTTTGCATGTTATTTCCCCCTTCAGCCAGGACCATCAGGAAGATGTGGAAATGGAAATGTGGCAGACATTGTGTTGCTCTAGCTGTGACCTGGAGGGAGGGGCACTGAAACCCAGGACAGTGTCAGAACAAGAGGCCGTGTACTTCCCCGTGTCTCTTGCCATTTCTAGTTCTAAGTATGAATGTTGAGATAATGGCCAGGACGAAAACAAGTCTCTGGATATAAATGCCGAGTAGCAGGGGGAAATCAGTGGGTAAGTCTCTGTTCTCCTTTTCCTGACTCAACAAACGAAGACTCAGAATTACCAGCAAAACAGCAGGTCTACCACAATTCTGTTGGAGCACAGACAACTTGCAGAATATCGTCTTCTTCAGCACAGAGATTACCATACCTCCTAACAATTCAGCTTTAATTTGTCAGAGACAGTCTTTTTTCTAGTCCTCATGGTTGTGGGTGCATGCTTGAAAATGTGTGAGCAACACGAGCAGAAGTCTCCAAAGTGAGAGGTTTCTCAGGCTGAGCCCCATTTTCGGCAGTTGAAAGCAGGGCTTCAGGACCCCGCGTAGCTTCCTGTAACTCCCTGTGACTTGCAAAATGAGAATAAATTTTGCAAAGCAAGCACAGAATATTCATGGTCCTTGGGTACCAGTTAGCTAGAACAGTTTTCAGGGATCTTCATCCTTAGTGTCCACCCTTAGAGCAGGTGTGAGCCAGTGGTAGAATAGTAGACTTAGATCAGAGTTCAGGGCAGCCATCGGTTTGGTGGATGGTAGATGCCAGGCGATCCTCAAGGGGGAGAGCATTTCAAATTATAGAAAGAAAGTCCAACCTATCAGTTAAGCCTGGGGTCTCTGTGCTGCTCTTCGCAGAGACAGGTGGCAGCAAGAGGCAGGGCTTTTGCAGTGGTGACACCTCACCTTTGCATGGCTATCCCCCTTGAGTCTTGCCTGGCACCAGGCCAAAGCATTTCTTTTTACTCAGGCTTTTGACTGAGGAGTTCTATTTTTAAGCTGTTTTTATGGTCTCCTCCTAGCCGGAGGACTGTTCGTGGATATCATTTTAGGCTGCTGAATGTTGTTTTATGATGTCCGTGGGTTTGTTTTATTATGTTTATGTCCATGGGTTGTTTTAATGATTATAATTCTTAGGCTGATGATTTTTTAAAATTATTTTATTGTATTGTTATATTTTGTGATCTGCCTCAACCAGGCCTTTGGAGAGAGAGCATAATTTGGAGAGACAGCATAATTTAAAGTTAATGTTAAAGTTTGGTGTAAGTGGGGTATGTGTCACTGCAACAGCTACAGTTGAATTGGTAGAGATGTCTATGGGGATCTTGTTGGAAATGAGAGAGAGAAGGCATGCTTTGACACTGTGATGTTATCAAAGATAGTATCTCTGTTGCTTGTGTAAAATGAATTGCTTCGTGCACCCAAGCAGAAAATTGCAAACCTCCAAGTAAAGCAAGAAGGGCTGGACAGTGGCCAAGCAGCTCTATTTAGTCGTCTAAGGAAAAGTCAGGGTTGTGTATACTACACAGAAATAGGCATGCATACACACATGAAAATTCTGTAATCTGAATTCTGCAAGTTGCATGCATTATTCAAATGGAGCAAGCTTGCATAGTTTATTCTGCTCTCTTCACTGTTTTAAATAATTTGTTCTGGGTTTGCTAGATGTGCAGAGGAGCAAAAGTTCTGCAAGCTCCAGAAAGCCCAACTTCAACTGCCTGAGATTTTATTCAGCCTTGTCCCCAATGGCTTCAGATATTTCTGTGGTCACTGCCTACATTCAAGTATACTGTTTAGCCCTGTTTGCAAGTTACAGTAAATGCAAGCACAGTTTTTGTGGAGTGTAACGTTGATTGCCATTTGTATATCTGTGTTGAGTAATTCTGAATGTTACATCCAACGCATGCATAGCCAGGGCTTTTTGCGGGGGGAGGTGCCGGAGCTTTCAAGAGGGAAATGAAGTTTTCAATCTGTATACTGAAAACTCATGAACTTTTAAAAGTTTTTAAAAGAATTTTGTTGAAGAGGTTCCAGAACTCTGTTCCGGTGTGTTCCCCCAGGAAAAAAGTTCTCTGTATAGCTGAACATGTGATTGAAAACCCACATTTATCCAGTACTGGTCCCTGGTTTCATTCAAAAAGCGAACACGCATTGGCTCTTTCATACCAACAGATGTACACATGTACAGAGACAGATGTATATGCTTTCACAGGTGAATAGGGCTTTGCAGTCCTCAGGGCTAGAAAATATTAGCTGAGTTTCAAAGGGAAGTGAATTCTGAGCTTGATGTGTTAGTTAACCCCGTCTGCAATATCACAGAACAACCTTAAATGCAAAGGACGCTGTGTTCAAGAACCTTCTTGGTTAATATGTCCCACATTGACTGTTCTCTTGTACCCTCTGAAAAAGCCCGACATTGGCAAATATTTGCATGGAATGGGCAAATTTTTAAAGACCTGCTTTGGGGAAAAAACATTTCAGCAGCACTCATTCTGTTGCCTGAGGTCTTCGTGTTGGTATAAATGGGAGATTCAGATCTATCCCCTTTTGCTTTCTCTTCCAACTTGTTGGCTCATTAGTGGGGACAATATATGAAGTCATTCTTAATCTATTAGAAAAGTCTTTTGCTATTTTTTCCCCCAGTGGCTTCTGACTTAAATGCCATCTAAATATCCAATGGTTTGCCCTCAAACTTTAAAAGAAAAGGGAAAATGGAAATTAACTATGATTCATAAAACTTATAATCTGTGGCCTTTAATATCATTTTCGCCACAATGAGGGATATAAATGACTCTGGTTTTTGGAATCCATCTGCCAAGTTTCTATCAAGAATAATTTTCAAAATATGGTTTTTATGCTTGCTGTGATGTTGGACTGCCAGTATAAATTGTTTAGGTTTTATTGTTTATAGTACTTTGTGATCTTTACGGTCTGTAAACCACTTTGAGGAACATTCTTTCCTAGAGAAGCAGGGAGAAAGGCTTCAGCTGAAAGAATGCCTGCTCCAATTGAGTGTTTCATTATAGCAGTGGCCCTGGAAGTGTGCAGTATACATAAAGGTGTTGATTTTGTTGCAGGTGTAAATGCAGAAGGGAAGAAGGTCTTTCTAAAAGACATTTGGCCCTTGAGAGAGGAGATCCAAGCTATAGAGCGCCAGCATGTCATTCCAGGGATGTTTAAAGAAGTCTACCAGAAAATAGAGGTGAGGCATAAAGTAATGTGTTATACACTTTACTTTTTTCAACCAGAGTGCTGCAGTGGAAGGTTCAAATATATCTCTCCCTTTGTCCATTCTTACTGCACAAGCAGCTGATAATCAAGTAAGATTGAACTAATGTCCAGTTCCCAGTCCGAGCAAGCCAATGCTGGTGTGTCAGTGTTGCTTGGGCAAGTAGCAGGGCTATTTTTGGGCTGGAACGCACAGGAACGGAGTTCCGGCTGGCTCCCAAGTTGGCCACGCCCAGCAGGAACTCATTAGCATAATAGGCCACACCCAACAGCAGGAACTCATTAGGATTGGCTACATTAGGGGTGTGTGGCCTAACAGGCAAAGGAGTTCCTGCTACAAAAAAGGCCCTGGGTTTTGACAACAAACAAGGTAAACAGAATAAGAAGCAAAAGGTGGGTGTGGCTGGATGACCACACTTCTGGTAACATGGGGGTGCGGCCTAATGAGCTGTGCTGTCAGGGTTGTGGCCTAATATGCTAATGAGTTTCTGCTGTTGGGTGTGGCCTATTATGCTAATGAGTTTCTGCTGTGCTTTTTCTACAAAAAGAGCCCTGGCAAGTAGTATATGTCCTTGGCACCATTGTTGTTGTTTTTTGCTGTTGGCATAACATTTAAGCTCAGCAAGGCTATGTCGTAGGCTTTGAGTGTATTCCAGAGGTGCTTTAAAGAAATACAGACTGTATACCACCATGCAGAATGTAGTTCTCTGGCAATCTCAGCATTCATCATTTTAAAACATCTTTCTAGTTCTCATGATTAAGATCTGCTTAAGACCATAAGAAGAGGCATGCTGGATCAGAGCAGTGGTCCGTCTAGTCCAGCATCCTATCTCACCAATGGCCAACCAGTTAAGGGCCAAACAGGGCATAGAGGCCTTGGCCTTCCCCTAATGTTGCCTCCTGCCACTGGGATCCAGAAGCTTACAGGAGAGCTTCAAATAGGCAGTCCCCCCCCTTCCGAGAACATATCTAAGAGAGAGAAATTCACCCAGGGCATCATCCTGATGCCTGCAAGAGTGGATCATGCAAGCACCCCGAAGAAGATACTGAGTCCTTCCTTTATAGGTTAAAGTGGGTTAAAGGTCATGGTCTAGAATTTCAAAAAGAGTTCATCGATTCTGTTCCCAATCATCATAATTCTCTTTCTGACCTCTGTTCAGAGTACATTCTGCATTCCGAAAAGGAAAATCAAACCATGAAACTCTTCCCTGAGAGATAACATGGCACCAACCCTTGACTGAGATTGTTGCTAGGGGAACAGAGGTCAAAAAGATCAGATCCACAGTGGGGGGACTCAGGCAGGAACAAAACATTTCTAAAAACTGGCCAACTAATGTAGGCTCATAATAACAAGACGTGTAAGATTCCTTTACTGCCTCTGAATCTAGAGTTTCCCTTTAGTCACTGTGGCTAGTAG